TTGTTAAAACCATCATAGAGATGACGTTCTAACAAAATTAGATTTGTAGTACTTTCCTATACATGACTCACACGTGCAAGCGCGAGTTCCCAAACGATTCGTACCCTCCTGGACCATGTAATGACGTGTGTTGTTGGGGGAGTTGACGCACGGGGATCGCAATTGAGTTGAGAGTTGAGGCACAGATCTTGGGGCAGATAATACGGGTGCACGGGTCGCAAAACTGGACCGTGTATGCGTGGGCCATGTTTAGCTATTGGGAAGTGGCTGTGATGATGCTTCTATGTACTTGAGGTCGTCACTAACTTGCCACTACGTACGCACCATTGGTCTTAGCGCACTCTAGAGGGTTCTTGCTGTTAGACGAACACGACTTTCCACAATGGTATGATATTGTCCACTTTGAGCCTAAGCTCTCATGGCTTTGCTTTGGGTTTCCCCAAAAGGCCTCATACCAATTGGGTTTCCCCAAAAGGCCTCATACCAATGGAGTTAGTATTCCTCACTTATAAACCCATGATCATTCCCTAAATTAGCCGATGTGGGACTTCCATCATCCAACACCTCCCCTCGAACAAAGTCCGCCTCCCCTTAATCGAGGCTCGACTCCTTTGGAGTCTTAGTCATTTTTTACTGCCTTCGAGGAGGGGCTTGGCTCCTTTTCTTTAGGAGTTCTTTGTTCGATATTTGAGGATTTGAGGATTTATCAATCTATTGGCACGACTAAGTTTAGGGCATGGCTCTGATACCATGTTAGACGAACACGACTCTCTACAATGGTATGATATTGTCTACTTTGAGCCTAAGCTCTCATGGCTTTGCTTTGGGTTTCCCCAAAAGGCCTCATACCAATGGAGTTAGTATTCCTCACTTAAAAACTCATGATCATTCCCTAAATTAGCGGGACTTCCATCATCCAACACTTGCATCTTGTGAATCAAGAGGGAACTTATTGCATTCAATTTTTCAGTCTCTTCTATTATTTTTAGGTTACTTTTGAGTTGTGGTTGACAATGACTTTTGATATTCAACAGATTTGGGTCTTAAAAATACTTTATTCTCTAGTTTTATAATAGATTTTCAAGGTTATATAAAATGATTATATTGCAAATCAAATTTGTTTCCACAATGTTTGAATGAATCTAAATCACATTCTTTCCCACCTATTTATTTTAAATTTTGTATCTAATAAATCAGACTTAAAATAATATTAATTTTGAAGTTCCTAAGATTGAGTCTCTCAACTAAAGGTCAAAATTATTGGTATAAGTATGACTTTCAATTCTTCTTTTTTTAAGTCTTTCTTAGTCATTCTATTTTTAAGATCGCTCTCATTCGGATGTGATCTATGTTCATTTATGTATCTTTCGCTATTCGGATGTTACACGATCTAAAATAAATCTTTTAAACGTAAAATTGAATTTTTGGAAGAGTAAGATGATAAGAATTAAGTAAAGTTATAATTTTTTGAAAGCATGAAACAAGCTGAACCCAATATTATGACAATAACTTATAATCTGTGAAAAGAATTTTTGTACAATATGAGTAAAGCGTACTCTTTCTTACAGATTACAACCGGTGAGTAATAATTTGAAGAGAGCAACAAAATCCAACCAAATCCATCCCAACTTCACTTGTGCCCATCTCCCCTCCTGCTGGGTCCTGATGCCAACGTGAACACCCGCTCATCCAACAGCTCTCTCTGATACGACATGTTGGAACCACCACCGGCACCACCGCCTTCACCAACGTTTTGTGTCTTACGAGTATCGACCCAGACCGGTCCCCCGTCGACTAGAAAATTAGAGGTCGCAGTTAGAAGTAGGAGAAGCAGGGAGAGAAGGCAAAGATGCCTCATAATTTTGTTGGTGGTGGTGTTGAAATTGATGTTGTTGGGGTGGTGGGGTTTGTTTGTAAATGTTTTTAAGTGTGTTATTGAAAAAAGATTACAAGATTCTGTGACAGCAAAAAGAATGGAGCAGAAAAGATAGTATCAAAAATGGCATCTCAAATTAGCTAATGGAGGAGGAGGAAGGAGGAAAGGGGGTTGATTTCATACGCTCAGTCATGACTCGATAACCTAACCATTTTATTTTTATTTTATTATTATTTTTTTTTTAGATTGGATTGAATTTAAAAAAAAAAAATCGAGTTTAGTTCGTAGGTTGACATTTTTACGACGAAGAGCAAGAATATTTAACATTTATAACTGTTGATGGTAATGCATCGTAATTTGCTTTGATAAATAATACATTTTAAAATAATACTTGAAAATGAAGAGTTAGGTTGATTTTAACGGTGAACTCTATTCTAGTTGCCTAATCACTAATATAACCAACTCGACATTTAAAGTCGATCCAAAGATTTTTCTTACTCGGCTCAGGTACAACCAGAACCATATTGAGAGCTCATGTGTGGGTGGGATTTGGGTATAAAATAGGACTTAAAACAACATAAATCCAACCAAAATGTCCCAAATGTATTTATTATTAGGCTTGGCTGTGTGGATCATTATATTCCTTTTGATAAGCTTTGTCTTTGCGATGGACCAATTCTTACCAGTCAAATGGGAATCACTATAATGCATTTGTGTTCTCTCTTTTTCCTTCTTTGGAGGCTGTAGAATATGGTGGCTGCCATGCCACAAGTGTATAGTGTCGCGGTATCGTTCTTTGAGTTATTGAGTTGTCGACGTCACTACAAGAATAATGAATATAATAGCTAACGACAAGCATTTTTTTATAAAGTTCTGAGAATTTATATTATCGAAAGTCTAAAATATAATAACTTAATAATTGAAATTTTATAATCTATTTACGTTAACAAAATATGGTATTAGTAGTTTCTTAGAATAACAAAGTTATTCAACAAGATAATTTAGTTCACAAAATAGAAAATTCATCAAGCGTTCAAGATTATATAGTTTGCCATCTATAATCTTTTTGTATGTGTAAAAGTATCATTTCATTCACGGGCAAATAGACCTGTGCTTGACTTGGGAAATTGTCGGTTTAGTACAGAGAGAGAAAATTTTTGTGAAAGGCTATCAACTTATATGTACATAGATATAGTGAGTCTATGTTATGTAAACTATAGGTATACCACTTACGAGAAAGAAACCCATGTCGATAAAGAAGTTAACCAAATAATACAAGTTAGTGTTTGCTAGTCCTTCCACAGATGCCTCTCGTTCATTCTAATGAATAAAAAAGACTGTCGAAGGCTCGAGCGAGAAAAGGTGGTAAAGGAAACCTATAATTAAAATATGAGTACCTAAACTCAAGAAAGCAAGAAAGTCATTTCAAGAAGATTGATAATAAAAGTTCGATGGAGAAGACAAGTGAAGAATATTTAAAGGTTTCATCATGAGAATTTCATTAAAAATTTTGCCGCTCTGATAAATAAGCTTCAAAATCTTACAAAGATGCAACATAATTTTTCTCTAAAAACTCGTAAGATTCTACCAAAAATAGTTTGAGATCCAATCGTTTGGTCTTTTGAAGTCAATAACATCGACGATCCAATCACTAAATTCTAGAGGAGTGTTGAGTAGCGTTTGAAAGAAGGCTTTTTGTTGTCAAGATCATTGTGGATATATATTTCTTTTACAAAAGTAAAAAAGGCATTGGTTGAGGGAAGGAATCTAATTTTGATTTTTGAAGGATCGGAGGAGTTTCGTCCATATGCATTAGACACACGAAAGGAATAACTTTTATTCCCATATTTGTGATACACATCAAAAGCTTCAAATTTGAAGGTATATCTCATAAATAGAGGGAGTCACTTCCTTTGCATCCCTTCAATGGTTTGGAGGGAAATATCTCGATCAATTAAGAGGTTGATTATGAGTTTATAAATAAAAAATGCATTTCTATTGGTACAAACTTTTTAGGAAAATAAATAGTAAATCACGAGAGTTTATGTTCAAAGTGGACAATATCATACCACTATATGGATTCGTGATTTCTAACATGCTCTTAGAGTCGTGCTTTAACTTAATCATGTCAATAGAATCATTAAATGTTAGATAAAGAAGTTGTGAGCCTAAAAAATGCAGTGAAAGTCACTGAAGTATAGCGATCACATCTGATCATCTTGAATTAACCCATTCAAACTATAAAAATTAGTTTGGGTTAGATTTTTTTTTAGTTAGATAGTGTTGAATTCTTTGAAATTTGAAGTATAAGATTTTAATTATTAATATAATATAACATGTACCACGATGGATAAATATAATTTTTTAAAATAATAATAAATAAAAAACAATGTGGGTGGTTGGATTGGACTATAAACTCTATTCAAATTACCAAATTAGTAAACAAACCATCTAAAAATTTGAGGTTAGTCTAAAAGATGTTTTCAATCCAATTCATATACACCAAAAATCGAAAATTGGATTATGACATTTTTGTTTTTATGCTTACTTTTCTCCGTTCCAACCCTTTTCCAAAGGCTTTAAATCTCTAAGATTATTTATTACGTAATTTAAATGTTTTGCTTAAAACCTCTATCCTTGCTTGAATGACATAATTCTTTTCCTTGGATCCTTCGCATTACCTGTAACTTTGCTTTATGAGTGTCGTGTGAAAAATGTAGTAGAAGTTACGATAGATTGTATAAACATGAAATATACTGGACTCTATTTATGATTTAGGATTATGCGTCTTATTTATTAGGTCACTAAATCATATAAAGATTGTATCTTCTTTTAACATACAACTAAGTTTATGTTTCCATATCATTGAATCATCTCACCCTGATTCCTTATAAGGAACGTATATGGTGTTGCTTATTCAATAACCAGTCACAATACATTATTCACGTGAGAATTTTTGTTGTAATATGTACATCGATGAATTATTTTCCTTTCGGTATTACTTTCGTTATTGAATGTTCTTCGTCTTCAACGCACTCACCCCATGAAAACACTTATTAAGAAATATGCAAAAAAAAATTCAATATAAACCATGTGTTCAATGCATATCAAACTCATCTATGCATTTACAGGAACATTGCCTCATTCCTTTCTATTTAAGCTTAAATTAGCTCATTGAGGGCAACATTAGGCAAATTTAGACACCCAATAAAGTTTTTGTTATCATAACATTGATCCAAGGATGGTGGGTCTATTCCATTACATCTTATTTTGTTGGTTCCGTACGGTTTAAACTGCATACAATTCACACAACAATCCAAACTATTATATAACAACTTAATCAATATCCATCCACGAGAAGCAAACAATCATCGAGCACAATCAATCTTGAACTCTTCAACCAATTCTCTCGCATTTATAGTCGTGGTATCCTCATATACGACCGAATCATCAAGCCCTCTAGAACGAATGCGGTCAAGAATCCCTGAATCAATATCCCATGAAGCATCAACAATGGTAGTGCTTCCCTCATACCCTTTCCCACTCGCTATAGGCGTGAACTGAAACTGCAACGCCAATTCCAAATCATACACCACGTCGTGCATTGAAGGCCTATTTGTCCCAACTTCATCCACACATTTCTCAGCAATTTCAACAAATTTCCTCAATGAGTTTGCTTCAATGGTACCTACAAGAAACGGATCAATTACCTTTTCAATTTCTCCTCTTTTATTGCACAAAATTGCCCAATCGGCTAAGTTTATCTGTTCACTTGGAAGGGTCTTGACGATTGGAGGTCTAGCGAAGAGAACTTCAAAAAGCACGACACCGAATGAGTACACGTCAGATTTCTCTGTTAATAGAAACGTGTTGAGGTATTCGGGATCGAGATACCCGAAAGTGCCTTTAACCGTGGCGTCTAATGCTTTGGCGTCGGGTACTCCAGCTTTTGATATCCCGAAATCGGCTACCTTTGCATTGTTGTCTTTGTCGAGCAAGATGTTGGTGGTTTTAATGTCTCGGTGAATGATGACACCAAAGGTGGAACCAATGTGTAAATAATCAAGCCCTTTTGCTGCATCGATGCAGATTTGAAGCCTTTGTTTCCATGACAATGGAAGATGATCGTGGATCTTTGAACCATATAAATAATCTTTTAAAGTTCCCCCTGCCATGTACTCGTATACCAAGATCATCTCTTCGTTTTCATTGCAATACCTGTCAAGCATATATATATATATACATAAAAGATTACCTACTAGCCGAAAATATTAGCATAGATAGAGCTCGACTCCATCTCTAAATTAGCCAATGTGAGACTCCATCCCAATAATCCTCCCCTCAAACAAAGTACATTATAGAGTCTCTCTTGAGGCAAACAGACTACCCTTAATCGAGGCTCGACTCCTTTTTTGGAGTCTTCAAACAAAGTACACTCTTTGTTTGACACTTTAGTCACTTTTGACTATATCTTCGAGGCTCACAATACTTTGTTCGACATTTGAAGATTCTATCGATATGGCTAAGTTTAGGGCATGACTCTGATATCGTATTAGAAATCACGACTCTTCACAATAGTATGTATTGTCCACTTTGAGTATAAGCTCTCATAGCTTTACTTTGAGCTTCCCCAAAAGACCTCGTACCAATAGAGATATAGTACTTGCTCATTGAGTCCCAACAATCCTCAACAAAACATTCACAAAGGCACAACGTATCACTAATATCAATTACAAATATCAAATATTCTTCATCTTGTAAATAATAGGAAAGTATGGTCGGATTAGGTTGGATTGTAAATCTATTTTTTGGGTTAGTAAAGGTGACACACACAAAAAAAAACATAAAACTATGTCTAAAAAATGAATCCAAAATTTTCAATTTTTAAAAAATTTAACTCAACCCAAATTGAAAAAAAGAAAATAAAAAAATTCAACTAAACCTAAGTTAGATAATCTGAATTGATCGAATTATCTAGTCACATGAACGAACACCTCTACTATATATAGATTCCATTGTTGTCTCCTCTTATTAAAAAGAAAAGTAACTTAAGATAAAAGGAATATCTAACATTCCTATAACAAAAAAAAAACTAACAATTATGTCCTAAAAATTTGAACTTTAAACAGTATTGAATCGAGTTAAGTGGCAGTTGGACATACCCGCATAAAGAAACCAGATAACGATGTCGAATTTGAGACAAGATAATGATCTCTGTCTGAAACTCCTTAAGACCTTGTCCAAGCCCCGGCCGACTTCGTTTCACAGCCACCTCTTTACCGCCAATAGTGCCCACATAAACACGTCCAAACCCTCCAACACCAATCACTTTCTTCTCATCAAAACCATTAGTACCCTCAATTATTTCATCAAGCGAGATCTTCAATTCAATGTTCAAATTAGGAGCAAGATCCGCCATTGACATAACTTTCTCCGATGGATCATTTTGAGGTAGCGGCAAAGGCCGATGCTTTCTTGATTTCCGACCTCTAATCAAATAAAACAAAGCCAACCCAATTATTAAAGCTATGATCACCACCCCACCAACACAAACCCCAATTATAATCCACTTTTGATTGTGTTTATCCTCTTTTGGCTTCAAATCAATTGAACCCACAAATGATTTCTCAATCAACTCCATAATTTCAACTCCGTTCATGAAGGCTTTTGACAATGGAGCTTCTTTGGTGTGCGCTATGCCGACATTGAAATATCCTGTCCTGTCTGTAACAATGATACATTCAAACCAGAATGGCTTCCCAAATTCACTCAATACTTCCTCGGAATCAATGTGTGTTCGATTAACGTCGAGGAAGTAATCGAACCGGAATGGCGTGCTTCGTGGTTCGATGATGTCGCAAAAATGGAACCGAATGAAATATCTGGTTGTCTTCTTTACCTTAAAGACCCATGTTATGTTTGGATCTTTTGAGGTTTTAGTAGAGTTCATGTCCAATGATTTTGCATGACTATACACGGAACTTGGAGCTGTGTAAATTGTTGTTACTATGTAGTATTTTATGTCTTCTTTGAAGGTGACGTTTTTTGCTGGCGATGGATGAGTCATAAATCCTTCATCTGGCAACCATGTCCTCCATAATGGATCCATGTCTGGAGTGACCAAGGGACCACCCATCGAGACCCTGTTGTTGAGTGTATATATATATATATAAAAGATTAATTTAAATGGATGATTTGATCTTTGAGCTAATAAGCTCGACTTACGAAAAGAAGTTATTAACTTTGAGCATTGGTAGGATAATTGTAGTTATTAACTTGAATAAATTTAAAAAAATTGTTACACATAATTGTTACTATTTTGCGGGAGAAAATTTAAGAAATTTGTTCATACTTTCCCTACTATAAATACAGATTATGTGTATGGTCTATTCATAACAACAGAAAAAATTGATTAAGGTTCCTACGTTCAAAAGCTCACTCCCCTCGAGGTAATAAAACACATAAATGTTTAAGATCTATTCAAAAGCTCCCTCTCCTTGAGTTATTGAACAGCATAAGTGTTTAAATTTTCTAGGTTCAAAAGCTCTCTCCCCTTAAATATTTAAGGTTTCTCTGTTTAAAAGTTCTCTCCTCTTAAATGTTTAAAGTTCCTCTAGTCAAAAGCTCGGTTCAAAAAGGTCTCTCTCCTTAAATGCTTAAGGTTCCTATGTTCAAAAGCTCTCTTCCCTCGAGTTATTGGAAAGCATAACTGCTGCTTAAGGTTCTTATGGTCAAAAGCTCTGTTCAAAAGCTCTCCCCTCCCCTTAAGAATGCTTAAGGTTCATATGTTCAGCTCTCTTCCTTGAGTTATTGAAAAGCATAGTGCTGCTTAAAATACCTCTGGTTAAAAGTTCCGTTCAAAAGCTCTCTCCTCTTCCATACTTAAGATTTCTCTATTCAAAAGCTCCCATCCTTTGAGTTATTAAAAAGCACAAGTGCTGCTTAAGGTTCCTCGGGTCAAAAGCTCTATTCAAAAGTATTATCCCCTTAAATGCTTAAGGTTCCTCTTATCAAAAGTTCTCTTCCCTCGAGTATTGAAAAGTATAAGTGCTTAAAGTTTCTTCACTGAAAAGCTCTCTCCTCGTAAATGCTCAAGGTTTCTCTGTCCAAAAGCTCTCTCCCCTTAGTTGTTTGTTTCGACATATTCTAAGTGTTGTTTGTTTCGACATATTCTAAGTGTACTATCTCCGACGGGGTTAAGATATCTGAATAGTTTAACATGATAGCAATAAATTAAATCCAATTTTGTCTTCCAACAATAACATTTTTCTTGTCCAATCCAATAAATTATGATTGAAATTAAAATTATTGTAGTCCACGAAACTTTTAAAAAAGTAACTCTCTTTTCTAAAATTGAAAAAAAAAAAAAAAAAAAAAAAAAAAAAAAAAAAAAAAAAAAA